TGACAATTATGCGCACCGTGACAATTGAGTGCACCGTGACAATTGAGTGCACTGTGAAGAGTGGTTCCTGGCTGGGAAGCACATGATCTGGTGCACACCTGAGCTTCAAATATGCACTGAGAGGTCGCAGCATTGGCAGCATCAAGGCATACATTACGAATTGGGCAATGTAAAATTGCATGAGAAATCTTGCTAGCGAACTGGAGGGAACCCCTCCATGAAACTCCCAAAATTGACAACAGATTTTGTTTTTGTTAAAATTCAATGACTAGGTTTAGGAAGGATTGCTCTGAGGTTGATATAGGTAATAGGCAGTTTAATTTTACATCGAAATGTACCAGCACTTCATACTCATTGCAAAAAAATGGAAACAGTTTCATTTACCTTGACACTCTTCAGTTTAAGGAACACAAAACAAGATAAATAAAATGAAGTCACAAGCTTTTGAAGTATTGCCCCTTTGTCAGGTGAAGGGCACGAGTGTGCTGTGCTCCGAAAGCTTGTGATTTCAAATAAACCTGTTGGACCATAACCTGGTATTATCTAACTTCTGACCTTGTCCACCCCAGTCCAACACCGGCACCCCCACATCATAATAAAAAAAACAGAGTACAAAATCATGCAAGATAGCAAAGTACATGAGGAAGGCAAATAATGGTTAAGTTCTTCATGAATATCTTGTTTTGTTGTTATCATGGTAACAGAGGAGAGATGTTTATTTTGATTGTCTTCAGAAAAAAAAATGTGCTTGATGGATTGCGGGGTTCCCTAAGAAAGCAATAACATTTTAATCCTGTGCAGATTGAAGTAACTGGCCTTTTAAACTCTAATTACATTAACCTCAGTGAAAGGTTTATTAAAATATTTGGCCAGGCTTATGGACACTACAGTAACTGAAAATATTCCATATATTCAGTGTCACAAACATAAAACAGCTGCACAAACCTAGCAGGAAAATGTCAAACTGTTGAGGCACACAATAACAGTCTGGAGTTTCCACAGACTCTGAAGGAAGAGCCTGGAAAATTGAAGATTCCACTGGGCGATCCCCCTACATCTGGAGCCCTCTGAAAGTATCCATTTAAATTGGAGAACTCAGAAGGTTCCACTGCGGATAAGTGAATTGTTAGTTAAGGAAAGTTAGACTATTGAAAACCTAGTCTAACTCCTGACTAACCATTAAACTGATTCCCAATCTACCACACACCTCTAACTACATCTCCCTCAGAATTCCAAACCCCAAATCCTGTTTCACCATTCCTGTCTTGACTGACACCCAATGTCCCTGGAACCCAAATACCCAATCCTCTGTGACCTGACACCACCCATCCTCACTGTGCAATATATCTCCCACCCACCTGATCCAGCCCAAAACTCCATCGTTTACCTTGCCCCCTTGTCATTTTGTGCCCTGGCATAGTACTTACCTGGAATATTACCCTGGTATTGTATTCCCTACCCAATTGGCACTGAGCCCACCTGGTACACCACATATCTGGCACTCTATATGCCTAGCACATGATATTCCTGGCACCCTAAGGCCTGGCATCTATCTCCTACCTCCTACCTCCTTATAAATTAGCATGTTTCCCATCTTTCACCAAACATTTCTGCAATCTACCGATATCCACCAGGCATTTTACTTTCAACGTACTATAGTGTCCCTAGCACTGGACCAAGAGGCCTGGGTTCAATTCCCACCTCTCCCAGAGATATGTAATAGCTTCGTCCAACACATCGATTAGTAAAATATTTATCAATTCTAATCACACCAATCCAAATTTCCAAAAATCTGTAAATGTGCTTGTGCTGACTCACACATACAGTAATCTGAGTTAGCAACATTAAGATGACTTGTTCAAATACAGGATCAGTACATTGCATGGATATATTTGGAAGGGCTCATGGCACAGTGGTAGTGTCCCTACATCTGAGCCAGGAGAACTGGTTTCAAGTCCTACCTGCTCCAGAGATGGATAATAATATCTCTGAGCAGACTGGAAAGTATCTGGATGTATTTAGACCAATTGTAGTGCCTTGCAGCTGATACAGACTTGGCAGTGAGTTATGAGGAGGATGTAAAGGCTTAAACAGACTGAATGAGTGGACAAGAGGATGTGGATATGTATGAGGTTGTCCACTTTGCCAAGACGAATAAATGTGCAGAGTATTTCATGACTGGTAAGAGACTGGGAAGTGTTGGTGTCCAAAGTGACCTAGGTGTCCTTGTTCGTAACTCGGAAAGTTAGGGTGCAGGTGCAGCAAACAACTTGGAAGGCAAATGGTAATTTAGCCTTTTTCACAAAAGATTTTAAGTACAGAGCAAATAAGTCTTGTTTTAATTGTATGGAACATTAGTTATACTAAAACTGGACTGTGGATATCTGGTCCCATTGTCTAAGCAAGGATACACTTGCCATAGATGGAGTGCTGTGGAAGTTCCAGACTGATAACTAGGATGATAGCACTGTGATGAGGAGAGACTGAGGAGACTGGGCCTATACACTCTGAGGTTTAGCAGAATGAAAGGCAATCACATGTAAAAGTACAAAATTCTTAAACGAATACTCAGAGTAGATGCAGCAGGGATGTTTTGCCAACTGTGGAGCCTGGAACCTGGGGACACAGTCTCAAAATAAAAGGCAAGCCATTTAGCACTTAAATGAGGAAAAGCCTCTTCACTTAGAAGATGGTGAATCTTTGGAACCCAGAGGACTGTATGCCTGCTAGGATCAGCATTGAATGTATCAATAGGTTCTGGATGAAGTCTACCTGTTGACAGACCCTTGAGGGGCCATCAGTGGGAGCATCCCAGATTCATTTCTGGAGAACCAGATGTTTGGAGTTTCACCATATGTCTACTCCCTATAATTTCTGATTCCATAGCAGCTCCCCATTGCAAATTGACGAGCTAGGCTGAATACCATATAATCTCTTTTCATGATCTTGAGTGAGGGATAGATGTTAAACAGGACAGTGAGGAAATTTCCATTGATCTTCTTTCTTTGACTACTGTGCTGGGATGTTTTACTTTCACCTGAAACAGGAGATAATGTCCCAGTTTAAGGCATTTTACAAAAGATGGTATCTCTGACAGTGCAGCATTCCCTCAGGATTATACTGAAACACCAACCTTGGTTACATACTGGGATGGCATTCTGTCTCTGGACCTTCCATACAATTCCATACAATTAAAACAAGACTTATTTGCTCTGTACTTAAATTCTTTTGTGAAAAAGGCTAAATTACCATTTGCCTTCCATGAATTCACATCCTTCCCAGGCAACTAGTGGAATTTAAATTCAATTTACAAATCTGGAATATTAATTGTGTCAGTAATGATGGCTATGATAACAATCATTGATGTAAAATCACATTCAATGCACTAATGCTCTTTGGGCTAGGGATTCTGCCATCCTTATTTGCTGGCCGACATGTGTCTCGAGACAAACAGCAGTGTTGTTGCTCTCTGAAATGTCCTGGCAAGCCATTCAGTTCAGGGGCAGTTAGTGATGGGCAGCAAATGCCAGTGATACCCACATCTCAGGAAACAGTAAGTGCAAAAACACTTCGAGGCTCTGGAATTAAATATGAACCCAGAACCTTTTAATGCAGAGGAGAGTGTGTTGCCACTGACCAAAGTTGGCATTAAATGATTGCAGGTTGATAAAAGGTTTAGTGCCTGCACAGAAAAGTAGGCTCACATTGACTTAAGTGTCTCAGTATAAATAGTACTGTGTTTAATGAATAATGTGCTGGAGCACAGTTTGACATTGTCGTGGCTACATGTCTTTGGTCTAATCCCTGTTTGAGTGCATAAGTCAGGTGCCTTTCAAATCAATGAAAGAGATCTGCTACATCATGGAAAAAATATCTTATTCCAAAAATGGCAATGGCACACACAGAAAGAGTTCTTAAGTATATTATTACTGGATACTTTCCAAACACATTAGGGTCAAAAGTAGCCTGGCACTGCACAGATTCTCACAGGTGGCTTAGTCCCAGAACCATCATAGAGAGCCGAAGGTGAATCTTCAAAAACCTGCAGAAAACACAAAGCTTTGAAATCCTATTTAATCTGTTCGATTAGCTTGAGACAAAATGAACTTTAGTGTTTGAGGCTGAATTTCATTTAAACTTAACAATTAGAATTAGAATTAGATTTATTGTCATGTGTACTCAAGTTACAAAAGAACAGAAGTACAGTGAAAAATGTACAATGTCACCAACATACGGAGCCATCTTAGACGCTAAGTACGTAGGTACAATCTTAGTTACAAAAAGTACAGAAAATAAAGAAAACGGTTACACTACGTTACAGATACACATAGTATGAGTTTTTTCTTGTTATTTTGTAAGAAATTTAAATCAAATATCAGGAGCTGAATCCAAGCCAACCTTCTACTCCTCAGTTTTTAATATTTGAACATTAAACACATGGATGGCATTTTGAATTTAATCAGCTAGAAGTATTTTGAAGTATACTAAAGCTGAATGTTTAGTCCGAGGCTGATTCTGCACTAGTAAGAAAGAAAGACTTCTGTGCACACAGCAAGTGCAATCAATGTTGTAAAAGTAAGAAATTTGGTAATAAATGTGTTTGCAAATCCTTTGCCCTTTAGCTAAATGAATGCATTGTGACCGCTTTCAGTGAAACTGTTGTAGATCTGTTTTATCTTGGAGGGAGACTGTTGTGAAAATGTTAACAATTTCGCTGGCTTTCACACAGCAATGCAGAGCCTCCAGGCTGAAGATCTCACTGTAACAGGCTTCGGTGATGAATAACAGCCAGTCCGGTGGAGGGCATCTTCCTCCTGCGACGCTGTCAGAGTGTAACTTGTGGGATGCTAAGACCATTTATGGGCATCTTCCCCAACTGCTGCTTGACCTGGTTTTTTTAGCCTCATGCTATTATTGTTGTTGCTGCTTCTCGCGTTCCTCCAACTGTTTTTCCATTCAAAGATGTGAAGCAGCAATAAGCACCTGTTAAATTAGGAGTTAAGTTTTGTGGGAAATAACTGTGAATTAAAACACAACAAAACAAAATTGTGGGAAGAAATTATGCTATAAATTTTTTGAACTCCATGTACAATTTTACATTGGAAGACCATGAAACCATAAGAAATAGGAGCAGAAGTGGGCCATTCAGCCAGTGAAGTGCTGTGCTAAAAAGTAATAAAGCAGATCCAGGGTCTTCTTGTGGCACAGTGGTAGTGTCCCTACCCCTGGACTGGGAGGCCTAGGTTAAAGTCCCACCTGCTCCAGAAGTGTGCAATAATACCTGGAGCTGGAGTAATTAAGTATCTGGTCTGTACACTAGCAACCACCCCAACACCCATAAATGGAGCTGCCAGGACATTATTCAAATGAGCCACAACACACTGCAGCAACCCAGAATTGCGCAAAGCAGAACAGGAACTCCCTACCTATGTCCGTGACACCACCCACGCCCTCCACCTCCTCCAGAACTTCCAATTCCCCGGTCCCCAACACCACATCTTTACCATGGACGTCCAGTCCCGCTACACCTGCATTCCCCATGCAGATGGCCTTAAGGCCCTCCGCTTCTTCCTGTCCCGCAGGCCCGACCAGTCCCCCTCCACTGATACCCTCATCCGCTTAGCTGAACTCGTCCTCACACTCAACAACTTCTCTTTCAATTCCTCCCACTTCCTACAGACAAAGGGGGTAGCCATGGGTACCCGCATGGGCCCAAGCTACGCCTGCCTCTTTGTAGGTTACGTGGAACAATCCCTCCTCCGTACCTACACCGGCCCTAAACCCCACCTCTTCCTCCGTTACATTGATGACTGTATTGGCACCGCCTCGTGCTCCCACGAGGAGCTCGAACAGTTCATACACTTCACTAACACCTTCCACCCCAACCTTAAGTTTACCTGGACCATCTCTAACACCTCTCTCCCCTTCCTGGACCTCTCTGTCTCCATATCAGGCAACCACCTAGAAACCGATATTCATTTCAAGCCCACCGACTCCCACAGCTACCTAGAATACTCCTCCTCCCACCCACCTTCCTGCAAAAATGCTATCCCCTATTCCCAATTCCTTCGCCTCCGCTGCATCTGCTCCCAGGATGAGGCATTCCACTCCCGTACATCTCAGTTGTCCTCGTTTTTCAAGGACCGTAACTTCCCCTCCTCGGTGGTCGAGAACGCCCTCAACCGTGTCTCCCACATCTCCCGCACCTCATCCCTCACACCCCGTCCACGCAATAAGAACCAAAAAAGAATCCCCCTCGTCCTCACGTACCACTCCACCAACCTCCGGATCCAACGCATCATCCTCCGACACTTCCGCCATCTGCAATCCGACCCCACCACCAAAGACATCTTTCCCTCCCCACCCTTATCTGCTTTCCGGAGGGACAACTCTCTCCGTGACTCCCTTGTCCGCTCCACACTCCCCTCCAGCTCCACCACACCTGGCACTTTTCCCTGCAACCGCAGGAAGTGCTACACCTGCCCCCATACCTCCTCCCTCACCCCCATCCCAGGCCCCAAGAAGACTTTCCACATCAAGCAGATGTTCACCTGCACATCTGCCAATGTGGTATACTGCATCCGCTGTACCCGGTGTGGCTTCCTCTACATCGGGGAAACCAAGCGGAGATTCGGGGACCGCTTTGCAGAACACCTACGCTCGGTTCGCAATAAACAACTGCACCTCCCAGTCGCGAACCATTTCAACTCCCCCTCCCATTCCTCAGACGACATGTCCATCCTGGGCCTCCTGCAGTGCCACAACGATGCCACCCGAAGGTTGCAGGAACAGCAACTCATATTCCGCTTGGGAACCCTGCAGCCCAATGGTATCAATGTGGATTTCACAAGTTTCAAAATCTCCCCTCCCCCTACTGCATCCCAAAACCAGTCCAGCTCGTCCCTGCCTCCCTAACCTGTTCTTCCTCCCACCTATCCCCTCCTCCCACCTCAAGCCGCACCTCCATCTCCTACCGACCAACCTCATCCCGCCCCCTTGACCTGTCCGTCCTCCCTGGACTGACCTATCCCCTTCCTAACTCCCTACCTACACTCACCTTTACTGGCTCCATCCCCGCCTCTTCGACCTGTTTGTTTCCTCTCCACCTATCCTCTCCTCTATCCCTCTTCTATCCGCCTCCCACTCTCTCCCTATTTATTTCAAAACCCCCTTCCCCTCCCCCTTTTCCGATGAAGGGTCTAGGCCCGAAACGTCAGCCTCTCTGCTCCTATGATGCTGCTTGGCCTGCTGTGTTCATCCAGCCCTGAACCTTGTTGTCCAGGAACACTTATATGGAGTTTTTAACAGGAGTGGATACCCAAAAAGCACAGTCTGCTGTTACCTCTGTGACAGGACACAACACGGCCAGACTCTCTAGTCACCCTGCCGTACATCAGGGACATATCCACAAGATGACCGCAAGACTAGTCAGACCCCTAGGTATCAGGGTAGCCCCCAAACCAACAACCACCCTGCGACAGCTACTGATCCCATACCCACAACCAACAAAACAAACATAATTTACAAAATACTAAGCCAGGACTGTGAGAAACATTGCACAGGTAAGAAAACTGACAATAAGGATACATGAACACCAACTAGCCACCAAGAGACACGACCAATTCTCACTGGTCTCACTACAAAGACGGACACGAATTCGACTGGGAAAACATATCCATAATAGCACAAGCCAAACAGAGACATGCCAGAGAATTCCTGGAGGCCTGGCATTACGACTGGAACTCTGTTAACAAACACATTGAACTGGACCTGATATACAAACCACTGAAAAACAGAACCAGAAGTGATGCCAACCACCCCAGCGAACTGAGGCATATAAATAACAATGGGACAGAACACCAATGCTTCACCGGAGGTGCACTGATGATGTTACCTAGCAGGGTGACAAATTATCTGCAACAAAACACACCGGCTCGGCAAGCAAGTCTACAACCTCACAGTGATGTCAGATTACATGTAGATGGAGCTTGTGTCTCTCAGGCTCCAGTTAAGATGTTCTCTCCTCTCTAAATAGTTATATTCAATAAACCCTGCATTTGTTCACTCATAAGAGCATAGGTCTCATTGAAACTCCCTTTGGTTTGGGCCTTTGAAAGATTTTGTCGCTCATTCTCTTCTACCCTCCATCCTATCACACACCTTCCTTTTTGTTCTTTTTCTTACGCTCCCCTTTCCTCTCGCTTAAAATCTAGTACATTTCCACGTTTTCTCTGCTCAGAGGAAGGGTCACAGAACTGAAAGGTTGATATCTCTCTCTCTCCACATGTGCTTTTAGACCTGCTGAGTGTTTTCAACATTTTCTGTTTTTATTACAGATTTCCAGTATATATTCCAGATAGTACTTTGTCTGCATATCAATTCCAGGCACATGTGCCAGCACATATCCACTTTACAAACAGAACATTCACCCACCTCTCCAGCTCTCACACTCTTTGTCTCTTACAGCGAGTGTCAGACTAACTGTCCAATGCTTTACTCATCACACTCTGCACTCTCAACTTTCAACATTGCCAGTCACTAAATCAAGTGATAGTCATAAAGGATATTTTGTTCGATAGGAGAGTGCAACTCCAATTCTGATCATCATGGGGTGAATATGTTTATATAGGGTGGTATACATATCATACACGTGCATGTAACATCATCTTGTCTCCCTCCGGGGAAAGGTTAGCCTATAACCAGTGCCACATGGAAACATCACCAGGGAGCATCACTGCAACAGATTAACCTGAGTCTGCAGGTTAATCCTTGGCAAGTACCCAACAGATCAACAGGAGAGCATGAGGTCAGAAAAAATTTAGTAATGGAAGATATTGAACAAATCACCAAAACTCCTCTTAGCTCTATATGATTTGTCAATGTATTGTTAAACACTTGCCCCCACCAGCTAGTTCTTTAAGGGGCAATGTTACTTTCCTCTGAGTGGATTGAGTTAAAATTTACTCTAAAATCTCAATGTGTTTGACACTGACATTCTAGGGTTGCCTCTTGTTATATCAGGGACGATTATGGGAATGGATGCTACACAGAAAATGACATTTTGGCAGTTTTCCCTGTTGCAAGTTTTTGGTGGTCACCTCTATATTTAGTATTGCTTGATGTGGGTCAAGAACTGCACTGTAGTATAGTAGTCCCTGCCACATTTGTTGCAGACGAAGACGGTGGGCCGAGAGAATACCCTTCCAAACAGTTAGATTCCAGAGGTCACTGTCATCAGCAACTGAATCCTGGTTGTCACTGTCAATATCTGCCATCTTCATATCTTTCTTGATGTGGAGATGCAGGTGATGAAGGAGCAGCGCTCCGAAAGCTTGGTGATTTAAATAAATCAGTTGGACTGTAACCTGGTGTCATGTGGCTTTTGACCATATCTTTCTTGCATGTGGATATATGGATGGCTCGGAGGTCATGGCCTTTTGGCCAGTTCACCATCTAGAAAGTTTTTGGGAATATGGCTGTCATTGGCTTAGTAATGAGTCTATGGGTGCTAATGGGATTAGCACACTTCAGAACCTCTGATTTGGAGACCCTGTATTGCGAAGAGAATACATCTGACACAGAGTTGATGGAAAATGTTCAGCCTTTTCCTCTGCATAGCACATATTGTCCTGCTCCAAACAGAGCAGTGAACTGAGACTGCAAGCTTGTTATACTTACAGTTTAGTGTACTCAGTCAGGTTGTTGTTGTTGCACTCTCCTTCAGCGTGTAACTGCAAAATAGCTGATGGTTTTTGCAATGGGTGTGAGCTTTTTGTCAGTTCTGGCATGTAAGTAGGCAGTGTTCCGTGGATGACCAGAAGGCATGTGGCAGCAGCAAAGCAAAGAATATTCCAAAGAGGATCAGTGACAGAGCACAATCCTGTTTAACTCCACAGCTGATCTCAAAGGGTTCCGTTGATATTTTGTCATAGCTGACCTTATCCATCATGTTGTCATGGAAAGAAGAGATAAAATTGAGCAGCTTTGCTGAGCAGCCATGTCAGGAATCACTGGGGTAGTGCGCTGGAAATCGAATGCTGCTGTCCCTGGGGTCATCACAAAATTTAAAGATTTTAAAAAGTACACCAAGATTCCAAAATTTACCTGCCTTCTAGACCCAGATTTCTGTACTTAACACAAACTGCTATTTATTACAAGCGATCAAATAGTAGCTACAGGTAAACAGTTACAAACTGTTGGTACATAACTATTAAGTAAAAACGCTAATCCCCTGACAAACTCCCCCCTTACACACACAGGCACACCCAGGCACACAAGCACACTCCTGTTCAGATGATCTGTTGAGATGATTTTTCTGCTGGTCAGAATGCTGCTTCTCAGTCGACTTTCTCCAGAGGCTTTTGCTGGTTTGCATGAGGCACAGGATGGCTTATTCACTTATAAAGGTCTCACATATTAGTTACAAATCACAGATTAAAGCAACCACTGAACAAAAGATAAACTAGTTTTCTTCAGGCTTAAAATGTTTTTTTCTGCAGAGAATGGAGAGAGTTCCTGAGCTCTTGTGTTTCAAAGGCTTCTCACTATCTTGTTCAAGTCAAAGTTATTCAGCTACCTGAGAACCAATCATGTAATTGTTGACAGGCTGAAAACCTTTGTCATTCATAATTGGTAATCCAATGGTTTATATAGATGGCCTTTGCTCACATGCCTTGCTGAACTTCATGAAGGCAACATTCAACAGCTTCTATCTGTTCATGCTATTTCTCTTGTAGCTGTCAGACTGGGAAGATCATGTCAATTGTATATCTCTAGTATTGGTCCTGCACTGGGATTCAGGATAGTTGTTTTCTGCCTGGGCCTAGAAGCCAACAAGGGCAACATAAATAAATGTTGTTCCCACAGTGCTGAGGAAGGAGACCGTGATAGTTGTGGTAATCATATTGGTCTACTTTGTTTTTGTCCAGAGTCTATACTCTGGCAATGACCTCACCCTCCAACAGACCGAGAGATATTTGTAAAGATTCTGCAGGATTGCCATGGCTTTTAATCTCTAGGTTCTGACCTGTTGATTTTTCCTTACTTTTCTGGCATGACCTTAACGAAAAGACACAGAAATCTTGAACACCATGTAGTTCTCCAGGATTCTGCCAGGAATAAGCCTTCTTAGAAATTCAACCCCAAATTTCCCTTCAGCTACTAACTATATGGGTTCCACATTCAATGAGAGTGCAGGCAGCTTCAATCCAGGGGATGGGCTCACTCTCAAAGCTGCTTCTAATTCAGCAGTAAATTGGCAAACTCAATTAAGATAAAACAAGCAAACAATCATCAGCTTTCTAGGAATGTTCAAATGGTAAATGTCACTTTAATTTTGTGAACTGTGAAGGCCACAGATAACTCATAAGGGAATTACACATAACAAAGCAACTATGTCAATGCAAGCACTTGACCTAACATGATTAATGTGTTCTACTTTGCTGAGGCCCGCTTTGAACAATGAAGTATACATACATTCCTTTACCATTTGTATGCAATGATTTTTGAATGACTGTTTCTTTGTAAAGGAGCTAACCAAATGTTTAATTTTTTGGCCGTATGGATTAAAACTATAATTTGAAAATGTGTATTCTTTGACATAAATCAGGGAACAAATGATAAAATGACTTGTAAGGGATCTGTGACTTGATTGGAAAAGTTCAAAGGCTGCTGTTGTTCCAAATCAGATAATTGTGCAATTAGCTCACACCCACACCTCCAAATGAAGGCAGAAGAAAGTACTGTACTTTCAGAAAACATTTCCCAGAGACCAGTTTTACATTTGCCAGTTCTAACCAAGATAAAGGTTATACAAACTGATACAGAGGTATATTTTTCAGTTGGTAAATCTTCGCATACTACCTTTTACTATGTGCTGTTTATTATAACTTAGTTGAAAGGAAAATTTTTTATTGTCTGTTTTGCAGTACCTCCAAATAAAAATTTCACCCCAGTTGTTTGTGATTGTAATCTCTGAGTTTCATTGGTATAAGGGTTAAAGAAATTTTGGCAAACTATATTATATGTGAGTTAATTCATATGCATGTGAGCCTGGACTACATTTGGAAAAGGAAATGAGCATGAAGGGAAGTGTTTTCATCTTCAACAGCAAAATCCACTTCACTCCACCACCTCTTTCAACTCAGCAAGCACGCAAAGCAGTCAAATCTTCAGAAGTGAACCGGAAGTGGTCAATTCAGAAATAGTAACGGTTATCCAGATCTTTGAACCTATAAGCTGCACTAGAGGGTGCAGCCTTTTTTCAGCAAATTGTTTATATGGCTTATAGATCTTATCGACATTTATTGATGAGATAAGAATGCTGCTTCTGAGACTGGCACGCAAGAGGATCTATTGAAAAACGTGCACACCTAAGGGACCAACATATTGACGAAACCAACACTTTAGCTACATTTTTCAATGGTGATTAACAGAATATGGCCCAGAAATGCTCCAGGATTAACATTTAATCACGTTTACATTCAATCATCTTTATATGCCTTATGTCATTGTGACAAAGGTTCTCAAAATCAGAATAATATGAATTGCTGAGGATTGGATGACACTTTGTATCAGGACAGTTTATTTCTAATGATGCATGACCAAACTCTCCCAAGAGTGTAGCACGAGGCCATATATCCCAGATGCACCCTGTTTTGGTACTCGTGTTTAGTTAGCTTCTGTAAACATTTTCTTTACTAGTTCTTAAAGCTATGAAATTCTTTATTTTACTGGTTTTCCTCCTTACTTCAAATTTTTAATATCCAAGTTTGATGTCACCACTTCCTAATTTAGCTCCTATCTTCATAAAGGTGGCACAGGCACAGTTCCATTGTTGGTTGCAGGATTAACGGGACAGATTTATCAGCAAGGAAACTGAGCTATCATAGTAGAATATCAAATAAAGTATTAAATCAATGCAGCCTATCTAATTTAAGTTACAATTTATTTGTTTGCAGTCAGAGCTTTGAGTTGGTCAAAACTGGACAATGAAGCAAAATCCTTTTAAAAACATACTGTGGAATTCATTTCAGCTTAATCCTGTTGAATATTAAAACAAATACAGCAATTAATTGACTCATTAAAGACCTCTGGAAACAGACTTCCACGGCACCGCATGTGGTCTAATGGCAAAATAATATTCTTTTTGCATCTGTTGTTACACGGAAACCTGAATTCAATTTGCTTGACTATAAACAGGAATGCTGGAAGACAGCTTGAAACTGAGATTTTTTCGGAAATGGTTTATTATAATCATTCTTTGATTTGAATTAGGTCATTATTATTCAATTATGTGTAGTTTGAAGTCTTAGGTCAGAGTTTTTATCATCTGGGTCCAATATGTGTATTATTCATATTATGTAAATTTGGTATGATAATTTTATGGAATTACCAATGACTATGTGATATTGACATATGAATATTTAACAGAAGTATAGATGCTTTATAGATGCTTCCATTAATGTAAGAAAAAAATCATGTTAGCATGTTAAGTATTTATATTAACATTTTGTATTATAATACCTAGACTTTTTTTTGATATCAGAGACCATGATGATGAAGAAAGGAACATAGCACATGACAACAGCAAGATTGAAAAGAAAAGGTCACATATTGTGGATCATCCACTACATGATCAGTGAACTGTAGGTTTAATATTAATCATGTATCTATCTCCCTTTTTCAATTTGCAATGATTCCAGTTAAAGTGGCTCTGCAGTCAAACTTTTGTTTAAAAAAGTTAAAGGTTATTTTATTGCAAATTATTGGTGAAGGTTCCTTTGGAAATAAATAAATAAATAAATTATGAACAAATAACTACAGTTACCAAGGATGAAACAATTACAGTTAAGACAAAAGAATACTTATAAGAAGTGAATTCCAATAAGTCTTCATGATCTAACATTGAGGGCAATGCTTGTGTCTCTGAAATGAAGAGGGTCACACTTGAAGTCAGATCCAGCAGCTGTGATGGCTTCTGTAGTGGAACGGGTAGTGTTTCCTTGTACAGGTTGGTTCGTCAGAAAAGTTTGGGAGTAAGAGGAAGTTCCTTATCCTTCACTAATTCAGTAGTTTTGATGTTTTATTCCTGAATTTCCTTCAATGGAGCAGTATTTGATTCTTTACAAAGAATCATTTCATTTTTCCTTTTGATTTCCCTTTCTATTTTTTCCATCAATTATGATCCTGAAAAAATGTTTGCCTCATCCATTTTGTCCATCCTACTTATAAATGAATGTGTAAATGAAGGGGCATGGCAATATAAGGGGGTATAGCCTTCTCAAGAGTCAGATTGGTGATACAATACTGAGGACATTCTATTGCAACATGCAGTCATTGGAAAGGTGTTAAACTGTCATGTGAGCATAAAAATATCCAAAGTCACTAAGAGCCAGAGCTCTCTTTACTGTGTATGCCTCCAAAATCTGCAAGAAAAACAACAACTTCAGTTATTGAGAGAGATAACAAGGTGTAGAGCTGGATGAAAACAGCAGGCCAAACAGCATCAGAGGAGCAGGAAGGCTGACGTTTCAGGTCTAGACCCTTCTTCAGAAAAACTTTAGTTATTCATCTTTTTGCAGGACCCTGCTCTACACAGATTAGAATCCCTACAGTGTGGAAACAGGTCATTTGGCCCAACAAATCCACACTGCCCTGCTGAAGAGTATCCCACACTGACCCATTCCCCTTGTCTAACCCACCTAATCTAAACATCCCTGGGCACTAGGGGCAATTTAGCATTGCCAATCGACCTACCCTGCACATCTTTGGACTATAGGAGGAAACCGGAGAGGACCCACACAGACACAGGGAGAATGTGTAAGCTCTACGCAGATAGTTGCCCAAGGCTGGGATTGAACCTCGGTCCCTGCCACTGTGAGGCAGCAGTGCTAACCACTGAGCCACCGTGCCACCCATCCTAGTTCTGCTTCTTCTCACATTACATAATAGCGATTAACAATTCATTTTGGGGATCCATATAGAGGATAAGTTTGTTATAATCAATTTTTTTTTCTTGTTTATTGATGAAGGCTTGTGATGATGCTGTCACTTTAAAAGGGTAATTTTGTCTTTTTGTTTTTTTGAAGGGGTTGTAAAGGCAGAGGGGAACCGAAGAGTCTAGGGGAACGGAAGGGGAGTGGCTAGTTCTCCCAGTTCAGGTTTTTTCTATTTTTTTAAGCTGTAGCAGTCACAAGATGTTTTGAGCACCAGAAGTGTTGCAAGCATCAGTAAAGGATTTCTCTGATTTTCTCAGAAATCTCTCTCTGGATGTTGTTCCCTCCTGCCTGTAAGAATCTGTGTTTGAATTTACCTTTTTGCCAAGGGGTGCATTAAGGTTAGGTTTTCCAATAGTTAAGTTACACTAAATTCCACTTTCTTTTGTTTGTGTTTCAACAGTAGTTTTTAAATAAATTTTGTTTTGCTTAAAGACAAGTGGTTCAACAAGTTGCATCACACCTGGAACATTCACTTCACATCTGCCTTTAAAATAAGATAAAGTTGGGGTCGATGCTACCTTCTTAAAGTATTTTGAAGGGGCCTGGCCTGGTCCATAACAGGCTGGCATGAGGTTATTTAATCTTACGTAGTGATCACTACCAGACATTAATTTAAAACTGGGATTAAATAGAATCGTGGAATAGTGCGACTTGATTTCCAGTGTGCCAACCTCATCAGGGTCATGACATTGCTTAAGAGATTAATTAAGAAATGAGAAACTTACGTAAGTGAAGGACACACAAGAAACAATGTACACAATATTGGTATACATTGGTTTCTTACAATGTATTATATAGAATGAGCCATTTTAAAATTATAATGTTAGAACTGTTAAATGTTTAAAGGACAAATGTATGATTTGAAAGGGAGATTGGATGAATGCTTGAAGGAAATAAACTTGCAGTGCTATAGAATAGAACAGGGTAATGGAATTTACTAGATTGCTCCATGCAGAGCTAGCATAGTCTCAGTGGGCTGAATGGCTTTATTGTCTGTCATAAATCACTCTATGACTCTATAAACCATCTGACTGTTTGCATAATTAATCACATTTTGTATCATTCAGACATATAGTCCATTTTATGTTGAAGCTCTGGTTACCCGTTTTTCTTCCCACTTCTGAAAGTACTGATGCTGAGATATATTTCAACTAATAATGGCGTCCCTCTGTTATGTAGCCATGTGACTATTCTTCAGCTTTGAACTTAGGTAATGGTTATTGGGAATATTTTAGATGACAGCGAGCAATACTGCTGAGTCAATTTGTAAGTTGGAGTTATTGGATAACAATCGGATCTGGTGACACTGGCTGGTTCTGTTTGTTTCCAAGCTGAGTTTTACATACATACATATAGATTGTACCTTATTCCAGTTCTACACAGCCTTTTATATTAAAATATTTCATTATTCAACTCAATATAAATTCAATAGCTATAATGCTCCCACAAAGCTACACTACCATTTAATGTATTTTCATATCTTTATTAAGTATGAAAAAAATCATGAAATGCTGTGTTTAATTTCTATTTAATATGCAATTAATCTATTTAATTTCTAATTTACTGTTTTGCAATTTAGTCTCTACATCCTCTCCAATTCTATCTCATTCTCAATTCTCATTTCCAAAATGTAAAAACTATGGAATTTTTTGTCTTCTTTAAAGCCCAACTGTCCTTTCCCCTCCTAGTTCTATTACTAACTGCTACTCTAAACCAAGCCAAATGCTGTAGGTGTGCAGTTTCCTTTTTTTCAACACAAAGGCACCTGGTGCCAGTTATTCTCACAAAAGAATTAAATTAATTTTCAGCAAATGTTACACATTGTTATGTAATCAGTGTGTAATCACCACACAATTCCATTTTTGTTTTGA